TTGGCTGTGTTGGCTTTGGGCGACGGACGTAAGATATTTTTTCGTCTCTCGTGCTTATGATAATTGATTTACTTTGTCTATATATGTATTTGTTTATTTGTTTATTCCCATATTTTTGATTGTGGGATTCGGATGTTCTTTTGGATTTCTCCTTTTTATTTATTCTTTTTATTTGGCAAACCTATTTTTTCCTTACTTTGTTTTTAGTATGATTTTGATCTTACTTTTTATCATTATATATATTCTAACCAAATTAACATTAGACCAGCTTTCTCATACTACTGATTATTGTTGTTTCTTCTTTTTTTTTTGTCTTATTCCGAATTTCCCACGCACACGAATTTTAGTTATTATTTTTTTTATTCCTCTCCTTTATCATTATTGTTATTGTTTTTCGGATGACATTTTTTTTTTTTTACTTTTTATAATCACTAATTTTTTCGATAAACTATCTACATGTTATTTCAATCCCAAAAGACACCATTTTTTTTCCTTTCTGTTATTATCACATTTTTTTTCTCTCTCTTTCTTCTTGTATCTTCTGATTTTTTCATCATTTTTTCTAATCTTTTGCCTTTTACTTTTTTATCGACTGGACTTATTTCCGATAATGTTCGAAAAGATATTCATAACATATACAAAGCTATTTGAAATATAGACTTCTAATAATTCTATCTATCCAGTAGGCCAATTAACACCAAAGTAATTTCTACGCAACTTAACAAATAAACAAAGAAATCAATCAAAAAAATATATAATCTAAATACTTCCGTTTCCCCCTGACAGTTCTCCAGCTGTGGGTGTTGCAGCCCGCCATTGTTAAGCATGAAGAAGAGGCGCCGACTTTTGGAGAACTTATCACGGACCCTTACATCATTATTTCTGCTGGTATGTTGAGGGTGTGTGTTTGTTTGTTTGTGTTTGTTTGTGTGTGTTTGTGTTTGTGTGTGTGTGTGTGTGTGTGTTTGTGTGTGTTTGTGTGTGTGTGTTTGTGTGTGTTTGTGTGTGTGTTTGTGTGTGTGGGTATGGGTGGTCAGTGTGTTTCTTTCTGTCTGTCTGTCTATTCTCTCCCCCCTCTCTCATTCTCTCTCTCACTCGCGCTCTTTCTCTCTCACTTAACCCCCCTATCTCTCTCTCTTTCTATCTATCAATCTTTCTCTCTCTCTCTCTCTCTCTATATATATATATATATATATATCTATTGTGCGTGTCTACCTCTGTGTGTCTATCTGTATGTGTTTATCAAAACATATCTTTTTCTTCCTCCTTCCCTCCCTACCCCCCTCGACTCCCCACCACCCCACCCCACGCCCCACACACTCCCCCTCCCCTGGCCACCTCCTCCCCCTCCCCCTGACCTCCTCTTCCCCCTCCCCCCTACAGGCGCCATCACCTTCGCCAACATGGGAATCGGGATGCTGGAGCCTTCCCTTCCGCTCTGGATGATGGATACGATGGCAGCGCCCGAGTGGCAAATCGGCGCCGCCTTTATCCCGGCCTCGATTTCCTACCTGATCGGTACCAACCTGTTCGGGCCCCTCGGACATCTGATGGGCAGGTGGCTCGCCTCCTTCATCGGCCTCATCATTATTGGCATCTGCCTCATGAGCGTGAGTTGTTGTTGTTGTTTTTTCTTTTGCCTGCGCTGACCCTGGAGGCGGGCACTCGGCACGTCCCGTTTTCTGTGGTCGGCAATGGCTCGTTTCTTAGAGCGGAGTGTATACATTTATGAATACATACATACATGCATGCATCTGTATATGCAAAAATTTAAATAAATAATTAAACGAGTATCCACCTATCCGTATATATATATATATATATATATATATATATATATATATATATATATATATATATATATATATATATATAAATGCATATATAAGTATTCATATATATGTATATATCATTGTTTATTCATTCATATATTTATATACATATATACGCGTGTATATATATATATATATATATATATATATATATATATATGTGTGTGTGTGTGTGTGTGTGTGTGTGTGTGTGTGTGTGTGTGTGTGTGTGTGTGTGTGTGTGTATGTATTTATGTATATATGTATATATGCATATACATATATATGTACAGACAAACACACACATTTATATATATCACACGCTGACAAATATGCATATCTGATTACGCTCCATCACCCCCACCCCCCCGGCCCCGCAGATCCCCAACGCCACGTCCATCAACCACCTGATCGCCCCGAACGCCGGCCTCGGCTTCGCCATCGGGATGGTCGACTCCTCGATGATGCCGGAGCTGGGCTACCTGGTGGACCTGCGTCACTCGCACGTCTACGGCTCCGTCTACTCCATCGGCGACGTGGCCTTCTGTCTCGGCTTCGCTATCGGTGGGTGCGGCGACGGGGGCGCAGGCGGAGGCAGAGAGCCCTCCACGCGTTTGGGGTGTTTCTCTGACTGGATGGGTTGTTGTGGGGGTATTTGTGTGGAAAGTAGGCCTAAGTGCAAGCAGTGATTGGAAACGAGAACTATAATAGGATAGGTATAGGTAGATGAAGTGATGCATGCACTGAATCATTTTTAAGTATGGATATGTACGAACAGACAGCTATACATGACATGAATGGAGGTTCTTTACCGCCGTGAATCTTGGGTGACTGAGAATAGAGAAGTAAGGGTGGCTACCGATTCCAGGTAAGCGTCAGTCAGGTGTCAAAAAGTAACTCGGAAATACAAAATAAGTCACCTAATTCTCCTTTTCCCAGGCCCGGCACTGTCTGGCACTCTCGTCCAGAAGTTTGGCTTTAAGTGGATGTTGTATGGCATCGCGATCATCAACTTCCTCTACGCGCCCCTCATGTACTGCCTCAAGTCGCCGCCGGCCAAGAACCCCGGAGAGCGGCAGGTGAGACGCCCCGGAAGGCAGCTCTGATGGATCTGCGCTTTCCTGCGATGTACAGACACACACACACACACACACACACACACACACACACACACACACACACACACACACACACACACACACACACAAACACGCATACTACACACACACATATTCATATAGATGTGTTGCACCTATATGTTGTCGTCCTTTTATACTATAAATGACAACTCTTACATCTGCAAACTCTCAATCTAAATAATAACTATTTGCTGGATGAATCACAATAATATAAATTTCACTTGCTTCACTAAAAGCAGTTGGCCAAGAATTTATATAAATATGCATGACATTTCAGCCTTTAGAGTTTAGTGATGTTATTAACCCTGTATTTAGATTATTAGTAACTACAGTGGCATAGCGAATTGGATAAGGGGGAGGAGCACATGCCCCTTTCTTAAAATTTCTTGTATGTTAACTTCACCAAACACGCGCTATATTCCAAGTGTTTCAAAACGTTTAAAACGATTTCCAAACGTTTTCGGTGTCTCCTTATCACTACGCTCACCTAACCATTGCTATACCACAGCTACAACTCGTGTTGTATACATGTGGATTTTTAAATCACTTTTTTGTATGTTTCAAACGCAAGACTCTTTTTTTGACTATACATTGCAAGCGCATTAGGATAGTTTTTAATTTGTTTTCATCACAATCAGTTCTGAGTCGGTGATATGTTATGTATTTTATTGCATATTCTTTGTACTTCATGTTTTAAGATAATGTGCAGTAACATATTTTGTGTTAATAATTTCCTGATATTTTACCAGTGTTAAGTGTTCTTTTTTTTAAGTTATGCTTCTCTCTCTCTCTCTCTCTCTCTCTCTCTCTCTCTCTCTCTCTCTCTCTCTCTCTATATATATATATATATATATATATATATATATATATATATATATATATATTGTCAGTCAGTCAGTCTGTCCGTCTTTTTCTCTCTATTTCGATATAATTTCATTACTGAGATGAAAATATCCAAGTAGCATTCACCATCTGTTCAAAACGTGAAATCACAAAGGATCCTACTGTATATAGCACGCTTGTCTCCATCGTCGCAGGATGAGGTCAGAATAACGACATTTGTGCCGAAGACTCGAAAGTTGTTTGTAAACTCGCTTGACTTGCGATTGATAGAGACAAACATTAATAGAATTTTAAATTTCGTTCACCTTCAGTACGATGGCGAGGGTTATATTATTTGGAACGTTCTTAGATTTTTTTCTTCATCGCACTTATATATTATATTGTTTATATAATATATCTATATATTCATATTTGTGTTGTTTGATCTATGTACATTCTTTTTCAATATTCCATGTTAATCAACTCATTTTATTTTATTATATCTGCGTATTATTATCTTTGTGTGCGTTGCACTTACACACACTCATATATAGACGAGTACACACACACACACACACACACACACACACACACACACACACACACACACAGATATATACGAGTATGTATATGTTATATTATATATATATATATATATATATATATATATATATATATATATATATATATGTGTGTGTGTGTGTGTGTGTGTGTGTGTGTGTGTGTGTATGTATGCATTAAATGCAATAATACTAATACAGCTTCTCCTATTTCATTAAAGTGAGCAAATTAATCAGCTTTGTCCCTGTAGGAAATTGATTTCCACGCCTCGGTGTAGCTTACGTCTAAGACGCCTTATCCCGACTTGTACCTGTGTGTACACTGATAGGATTAACTACTTGCTCGTTTCATGTTTTGTCTTTTAGTTAATCGCTCATCTCTTTCTCTTTCTCTTTATCTCTCTTCTCTCTTTCTTTCTCTCCCCCCCCCCCTCTCTCTCTCATTTATCTCCCTCTCTCTCTCTCCTTTATCTCCCTCTCTCTCAGCTAAATACCTCTCTCCCACCTCCCTCTCTACCTCTCTTTATCTTTCTTTCTCCCCCCCCTCCTCTCTCTCCCACCTAAATACCTCCCTCACTCCCCCTCCTCTCTTTTTTTATCTCTCATCTCTCTTTCTTCCCCTCTCTCATTCTCTTTCTCACTCTCCCTTCCTCCCCCTCCTCTCTCTCTCTCTTTATCTCTCATCTCTCTTTCTTTCCCTCTCTCTCATTCTCTCTCTCTCTCCCTCCCTTCCTCCCCCTCCTCTCTCTCTCTCTCTTTATCTCTCATCTCTCTTTCTTTCCTTCTCTCATTCTCTCTCCCACCTAAATCCCTCATAACGCCCTCATAAGCCGCCCCATCTCTCCACAGGGACTGATATACGGTGAAAAGTCATCCGTTCGTTACGTCACTTACAAGAACGAGGACGAGGAGGAGAACTGAGCGCTCGAAGCCTCCCGCTCATCACAGGAGTCCCGCTTGGCTTGTCGTTTTTGCGCTTTTGGTGGAAGCAATTTTGTTTGTTTATTCTTGACCAAGAAGAAGAAGAAGAAGTAGAAGCCAAGGGGTGATGTTTTTTTTTTTTTTTACTCTCTTTTTTTTTAAAGATTTCTTCTTCGTAAATGGGTATAAGTACGTTTGTGTAATGGAAACGAGGCTAGATTGGATGTTTATTATCTATTCAGATTGCTGTACTTGTTGTTTCCCGCTCCTCTCCAGCTTGCGTTATAATAACCGGGCTTGACACGATTCCGAGTGAACTGGGCAGCGTTCGTTCACGTTCGCAAATTTTGGCGTGATTGAGGGATGCCGCCAAACTGACGTGCAATTTTGGTTAATTGCATTTACATCGCTGAAGCCGAGAGACTAAGCGAAATAGCTGATATTGTCATACTGATGAAAGTATATGTATGAAAATGCACACAAAACTGTGCATAAGCATCCATATATCTCGCGCTTCAAGCTGTTTTGTTCAATATCGAACAAAAATGAAATCGAAACCTGGGACCCTTTACAGTGTAACAAGGTCACTTTCCCTTGCCTACACTGAAGCCACTACAGTGTAGTATAAGCACCTTGTAAGCAGTAGCTAGGAAAGACCCTAGACCCTGATGTATGTAACCTGAGAAGCATATTCTATAACAGAAAAAAAAATCATATACATATATATCTATACTTACGACTCCACTTTTTATACGATCAACCCAGAACAACGACATGAAACACAGCCGTTTATAAACGACCGAACATTTTGTAGAATTGTTGTATCTGAGGAAGACTATAAAGAAAAACAAACCCGACTTTGTGTGAAGTGTTCGAATCGCTCGAATCTTCAAGGAAAGGATCGACCCCACAATGCGGGGGAATGCATTTTTTCTGCTTCACTAAAGCCAAGGATCCAAAGCACAGGTGATCATTTTTACCTTCTCGTTTGAGAAGTTTGTCAGACTTTGAAATATCCTGTTTTCTCTTCTCTTTTTTATTGATTTTTTTTTTCTCTCGGAGGACTCGGCCTAACGGTATACAAGTTCGATCAGCGTTTCGTATCCGTATGAAACATTTCTCATTCGACCTCTCCTCGTTTCATTGTGGGCACAGTTCGTCAAAGTAGAGACAAACACTATCACCAATACGTTCTTCGTTTCCTGCATAGATGTCTAGCTTCTAGAACAAAAGAAATTCAAATTGCCATTGCTGCATTTGAGCACACTCGCACCAAGTTAATCTGGCAACATTCTTTAGACGCACTTTGTCAGCACTGAATGCATGTCAGCACACTACTAGCACCAAAACACTGCACATCTAAATTTGCAAACAGCAAGCTCCTGCACTTGCACTTTGCCAACAGTGATTATCCGCACTGCCTCCGCATTGCCAACACCGAGCACATGCACGGCCACTTTGCCAAAATTGGCGCTAGCTTACACCTTCACTGATGCTTTGCACACATAAACGTCTATCGCTAGGTGCTTGACACCCTCCCAACTACGCTCCGATAACACTCTTTACATTACTTCACTACAAAAGTTTTAGCAGCTTTTAGCATTGTATTTTGCACGCTTCAGCTTACTGTAGCCGGAATAGACATACCCTCTATATACTCTGCCAAACAGTTGTTGTATACATGTATACCTTTACTCCACACACAGACTGCATGCACGCGTACACTCAAGGTCTAAAGTCTCTTCACGTGACCGGAGCCTCGTAACACCTCTGTGCAAGTTGCTTTAACTGATTCTCAAGACAACATTCGGGACATGTTTGGAAAGGACTTGGGAAGGAGACTGTACACAGGCGCACGCACGCACATCCACACGCACACACGCATGCTTTCATTCATGTGTGTACACATATACATATGTATGCATCTAATTGTACGCACACATACAGTACGCAAATTGTTATAGTAGTCCCCACAGAATTGAATGTCTATGCACATACATGCGCGGACACGAACTAGCGTGTTCACACACACAAACACACACACACACACACACACACACACACACACACACACACACACACACACACACACACACACACACACACACACACATGCATGCATTCATGCATATGCATAACTAAGTACAATAGACATATGAACGCAAATACATGCACAACACCAAAGATATATTCAAACACTCTTTGAAAGCACATTTAAAACTAATAATATGCACCACATCGCTAACGTATAGCACTAAAACTATATACAAAAATCTAAGACCTCTTAAAAATCCGGAAAACCATTAGTGAGTTTTGGGCAAATAAAAAGATCACAAACCAATATTATGTACACTTAACAAATCCTTGGCGCTTGTCATCATACTAAAGCGGAAATATTTGTCTCACATCATACAGTAATAGGGAGGCACATCAATCTACCTGGATAACAAAAAATTAATAAATAAATAAAAAATAAAATTAATAATAATGACGTTCACAACTGATCTGATAAGCTTAAATAAAAACCAGTGTGCAATGTACCATGATTGAAACGTGCACACCATAACATGTATATTGATTCTTGCATAATAACATCATTTAAAATAGGCACGCTTAACATCGTAGTATTTAAGGGAAGCACACTGTGACAGTATTCCTTGTTGATGACACGTTCTCAACATCCATTCATGGTAGGGACACGAATGGTACAGTGGTTGTCATGGCAGAGGATTATATGTAACCTAATACCATGAACGGGAAGCACTTTTAACATCATTACATGGTAGGGAATTACATGTAATAACTGGCAATGATAACAGAACGCCGAGAAAATCATAAAGCATAAAATAACACATTAAGAAAGGGAAGCACAATGAACATCATATCAGTCTAAAGAACCACTTGGAATAATGTTCCTTATCATGGAAGCACATTCAGATTCTGATTCATGGAAAGAAAATAGGGAAGCATAACATCGGCATATCATGGTAGAGAATAGTACGGCATTCCATCATGGTATAGAAGAACATGACAGTATTAGGGAAGCACACACAACTTACAGCATATCAGTATATCATGTTTAGGGTGCAAATAATCATGGTACAATATAACAATATATATATATATATATATATATATATATATATATATATATATATATATATATATATATATATATAATGCACAAACATGAAAAAGTTAAAGATTAAGTCACGATATATTAAGGTATCAACTTGATAGTCCTGACCTTGCTCGTAACATGACCTTCCTTAGTATGTAAGGCTTGGGATAACCGAGGGCAAAGAAAAGATACATTTCTTGTTTAGAGAGAAAGAAAGAGGAGAAGATGACATGCAGAGGATGTTTTTTTTCCGGCATGATAGGAATCCATGCAAGCGGCGGCGATAAGAGATGGGAGAGATATTGAGTGAGATGGCATCGTTAGGAAATAAGAATATGGGGCGTCGTGCAGATCGAGAAGTGCCGTGCCGGTTGGCCAGTTAAACCCACGATCAGGAATCTCTTAAAAGGATTTTTCTAGGCGTTTCAAAAGCTTCTTCTAAACTGTACATATATTTAACATGTACCACTTCATGGCCTTTCTGTCCAGTGTGAATGGCTGCACACTGTATATAGGCCGACATATGTGGCTTTCTTTTAGATTAGATCATTCACTGCGAAGAAAAATGCGGTTCAGACGTGGTCTCTGGCACCCGGATGCACTAATCCAGGTAAGGTAACACGGCGCCCTTTCGTATAAGCTTATGGAGGAAGATGTGGTCGACGATTTCCTTAGAAAAATCCCACAGTGAGTCTGATCTCTGTCCCGCCACCGCTGAGAGGAGAACCTAGAGCCTAAAGCATCCTCAGGAAGAAACTAGACAAAATCAGAGGAGGTGAATGGTAGAGTAACGAATAACCCAGCGCCCTCTCTAAGGTTTCTGTAGATGTTTCGACATCTACCGTCGTCTGACGATTGCTGGTCTAATTATAATATGTCAGTATTTTTAAGAACGTAAACTGTCGTAGGTTATTGTCAGAAATGTGTCAATAGGAAACTTGAATAGCCGAACTTTGTACATTAGGCCAATGAATGTTAACCAAAAATTGACAATAAGATGGAATATGATGATAGTGATTGTGGCATAATTTTGATAATGATATATTAATCTGGCGTATCACCTTTGCAGTTTCTATTATTACATAATATTGGTAGTAAAGTAATGATTAAATATAACAATATGTAACCGGATACAAGGCCAGCATTCATAGAAGAGAGAAAATAAAGACCGAGTGTCAATTATAGAAAAGGAGGAGAAAACGGGTAATGGAACACACGAGAAGTGATTTCGTTCAACTTCCTCAAAATTTCTGGAGAAAAAAAAAACCGGCTTCGGATCCTTGGAGAGCTGACGACGGAAGAAAATGCATGGAGAATGAAGATGAAAGGAAAAGGAATAACGAAAGACTGAAAAAAAAGAAAAAAAGAAGGAAAGAAAGAAATAAAACTCAAATACATAAAGAAGAAAACGACGGACTTCTGCCTCCCCCTCCCCCCTCTTTTGGCGAGGTGGAGGGGGATACGAACTTATTATCATTATTATTTTTTTTTTCTTACAACTTCAAACCCGATTGTGACAACTTTTCTCCTGAACATTGCGTCTTGTTTGCGACTCGTCTCCCATCCACACCTTGGCGCACGTGACGTCAAGCTGACGATACAAAGGAAATTAGCCAGACCGTGAAA